GGATTGGTTCCAATGCATCGACTTATTTAAAGTGAGGACGTGAGACACATTTTTAGCCACAAGATTGGTACAACATGTGTGGCCCAGATTAACTCATTTCTTTTTATTATTTTAATTATTTAAATATTATTTTGACCCGTTGACTCTGGCGTTGACTGTTGACTTTCGGCGTTGACTTCTGGCGATATTCGTTGACTTCCGGCGTTGACCATTGACAACTAACCTTCCAACTAGGTTAATTCTCTGTAGTTGCTAGTTTTTTTTTTTTTACAATCAACGCCTCGAAGGGCGGGGGATTGGGCTGGATCCCCAACCTGTACATAGATGAAGGCCCCAAAGCGGGCCCAAAATATCAAACAGCTACAGTCAACATAGTCTCACGGTCAAAACATAAACAAAAACAGAAAAAGAAAATAAAACAAGGTCTGTCATCGGGCTAACAGGTGCCCGGAATAAATTTATGATCTAATGAGAACAAAAATCTAATCTACTAAAAGCAAAAAGATGAGTATCCAAGCTGGTCCATCCGTAACAGCTTGCGAAGGCGGAGTGCAGCAGTGTCGGTCTGAACGTACGTAGGTCAGGTTTGGTGGCGCAAATGCTGGCAAGGTAGTCAGCACGTCTGTTCCCCTCACGGAAAATGTGCGTAATCCTGTGATGGACAGGCTGCAGAAGAGCTCTAATGCGCATAAGCGGGTGCTGAATCTGCCACGAGCCCTGGTGGCCTGAGGTCAGGATGGTGACGACAACCGCAGCGTCCAGCTCGATCCAAATATGACTAGAGAGGTGGGCAACAATTTGAAGGCCAATCTGTAATGCCTGAATCTATACGTCGTAGCTCGAGAGGCTCGATACGTGTGGAAGGCGGTGATGAGTGCTCCACTGTGATCACGGATCAAGCCTCCTCCTCCAGCAGTGCCGGTATTGTTAGAGGTATGCTGTAAAAACTCAGTTTTGCAGATTCTATCAATTCCATTTTGATCTGGCCATCATGTTTCGGTCAAAGTACATATGCTTGCAGTTTATTTTATTATGCAATCATACTCCTTGTCTTACATTGGGATAGTGTGGTTCGAAGTGTTTCGAACAGAAAGATCAGGTTCCTTGTAAGACTAAACTATTCGTTCACAGTCTAAACATGCAGTGAGACCCCTCTTGGATAAAGACTGTAGTGTATTCTTGATTCAGTTGGTGTTTGCCTGGAGAATTACACTAGCACTTATGATAGGTGTTGAACAAGACCACAGAAGAATAACATTATGAGACTCACTGATCGTTGTTGTAATTTAGACCTTTAGCTATTGATGCATACTCCTAAGCTATAAGATAATATAAAATGGGAATATGTATTCATTACTTATTTATTTGATTTATCAAGGGTGATTCCTATTTTGCTAGGATGACATACTCGGTATTTTAGTAAATAAGTGTGTTTATATGATGTGCCGTTACAAATTATTTACGGTCATTGTGTCCCAGTGCGTTGGGCTGATGACGTCCACGAAATGAGCTCAGGAATGAATATTATGTCAAGTCCTGCAGGCGGATGTGTTATCCGGCATAATGATTAAAGATCTGAGTGGTACTAGTTTCGGAAATGAATAAGAAGTTGATTAATTATTTTGTCAATAATTTAATTAATCAACTGACGTTATATCTTAAACATGGGGAGATAAATCGATCAATTATATTAATATATTTAATCAGTGGCGGTTCAAATTTATTGAATAAATTGGAGCTAAATGGGGAGAGCAATAATATTACTCTAGTGGAATGTTTTATTATTTAATTCTATTTAGGAATTAGGAATTAATTTTATTTCATTTTAATTAATTTAATTAGGAAAATAATATTGCTAATAGAATCTTCTCTAGGGATTAGGAGACTAAGGAGTCTTCTAGAAGATGAAGATTAGTAGGAGATATATTTCCTACATTAGATTATTAATTGGAGTAGAATTAGGTTTCCTAAATTAGGAATTAATTTTATTCCATGATTATTAATTTAATTAGGAAAGGTATTTCTACTAGAATCTTATCTAGTGTTAGGAGACTAATGAGTCTTCTAGAAGAGTTAGATTAGTAGGAGATTTATTTCCTACATTGAATTGGTATTGGAGTAGAATTAGGATTCCTAGGCCTAAATGGGATAAACCAATATTTAGCACCTCCTTAAGGTCCCTAATGTAGCCTATAAATACACCATGTCCCAACCTCTTCTCCAATGCGTGAGAGATCCAATTTTAAGGTCATATTAGGGAGAGGAAAATCGTGTTCTTCATATATTCGAGAGTTAGGGAGTTTCAATTAATTGTGTCTAGATACGAAGCCCTGGTCCAGCTTTTCAACCCGTCCTCTCGCGCGTGGTCCAGGTAAGGAGGAAGTCGAGCAGAAATCGCGCACCAGTCCATGCGCGAAAGAGGTCCAGTCCACGCGAAGCCCAACAGAAGCGGCCCAGTACGTGTGCGGCCCATCGCAGGAGAAAAAGAAATCAGGCGGGCTGTGCGGCTGCCCGCGCCTTAGCCCGCGAGGCTTGATCGCTCCCTCAGCTGTGAGCCCGCGTCAGACCGACCAAGCCCGCGCACATTTGTTAGCCTGGCACAGATGCTCTCGCGTGGCCCAATGTCGTTGTGCGCGGCCCAGATGCACTCCAAGCAGCCCAGCTCGAGTCCAGTAGCTACCAGGCGGTCCAGATGCACCCTAGTCTGGTCCAGCTCGTACCAAACCGGTCTAACATGTTCCAGCAGCCCTGGTTGGTATCCAAGGTAGTTCCCGAGCAGTCCGAATGGTCTGATTAATTTACCGAAGGTCTGACACAATTCCAACAAGCTCGACGAGCAACCGGAGCACCATGGTGACTTGATTAGAATCGAGAAAGGCCAAGTCTAGCTGCCCATTAGAATTTAGTGTTCAGATGATTTCCATCAATAGAAATCAGGAACGTCTCAGAGTCGGCAAAAATTTTATACCGTAAGTCCTACTCCTAACTATACATTCCTCTGCGTTAGGATTTATTATTCAATAGATTTGAATGTGTACATTGTCGATGTTCCTAATTGAACCCAACAACTGGTATCAGAGCCCCGGTTAATTCGACTTTGTGCACTATTTGAATTAGGACTTGCCTGATATATGAGAATTAATTGTGTACAGACGCAGTGCATAATAGATTAGAATTGCAAATAAGTGTGTTTGCAGGTATTCTTGAATCCGACTATTATGGCCCGCATGTATGTTTGTTTTTTAATTCATGTATGTTGTTTTATAAGACTCGGACATGTCGAGGATTTTTTGGGTTGGTGAATGTTTGTAATAATTTATTCGCGCGGTGGGACACCGCATAGTTTAAATGCTTTACTAGATCATTCATGTACGACCCCTGCGTGGGCCATAGGATCAATGTATGTAATTATATTATGTAATTGTTCGTTGGACCCGGTTAGCGCGAACATCTCTCGACGAGACGAGGCAGACTACCCCGCAAACCCGTAGTTGATGGGATACGTAGTACTGTGCAAATACAGACATACTCGTAGGCAGCTTGCTGTCAGATACGAGCATTGTTAAGGTGTTTGCAGACGGATATGCACGGACCCAGGTCGATGGAAGTACGGGCGACGGCGGAAGTAGACACATGCCAATGGAGGAGACCCGATGGCGATTTTTCCTGTGACGACTTGTTCAAGACAAAAAGTGGGAGTCACGACGAAAAAAGAAATTCCAGGTCCTGAATCGGGAGACCTAGTTCAACAAGGACAAGACTGCGTTTCCCGAAATATTGGAGAATGATTAAATGGCCATGATAGTTGGATCTTAGTTCGTCGTTTATTATTGCCTATTAATCATGCATGTCCTTATGTGATTTAATTGCTCTATGTGCAAATTGAATTATTAGAAGCATGTTAGGAAAATCCCTTTGAACTAAAAATTACATTAAGTGTGTAATGTGTTGAAATAAATAAAATCCAAGGCCTCCATTATAGGTTTGTCAGTGAAGTGGTTTAACTCGAGCCCAACGGAATTTTTATTTCACAGTTCACAAGGACGAATCTCCTTCGGGGTGGTTATAGTAAGCTATTTCAAAAGCGTACGGGTCACCCAAAGGTGGACGTATAATTTTGGTGGTAAACTTAGGACCAATTAATGGGTTACGCTTAAAGTGCAAATAATTACGATATTCCCAAAGGAAAAGGTTATTTTTATTCTTTCATAAGTTAATTGTGCTGGCCAAAAGTTTGACCGACTATTAGTTAAGTATTGCTTGGCAGTACGTTAAGCTAATGGGATTTATCCCTCCTCTTGCGACGGTTTGAACCGTAGACGTCCACACTCCGTGGCCTGCGGGGATTCGGTATTTTGAGGTGCCAGTGAAAATATATTCAAATGTTGTTTTGAATGGATCAATATTTGATGATTCGAAAACACTTGACTAAGTAAAGACTATGTTTGCATGATCCCAGGAATTCAAAATGTCTTTTCAATCTGTTGCCCGTAATACTCAAAGATAATTTACTTGTTCAAACATGATCAGAAATAGAACTTGGATAGTGTCTACTTTTGCTTAAGAATACAAGCCGAATAGTATGTGTATCTAGTTTAAGCGATATAGACATAGAAAGATGAATTGTCCTATCCTTAATACAAGAAAGGTAAATCTTATTTATTGGGAAGTCGAAACATTTTAAGTGGTGATATCTATCGGTGCCTGGTATATAGTTACGTAACCACTAATTATGTAAAAAGGTTTTGGTGAACCAATCGACATGTGAAGGTTGGATTACCATCTAGAATGGGCTAGCTACGGAAGTAGCAACTATTGCAGTGGGAGTTATCTATTAAATAGAATTTTTGGTTTTTGAATAATTATCTTTTCGTACCAAGTTTTAGAATGAACTCGTGTTCAGTTTCTAAACTGTGTATGGGTAAAAACGAGATGTTTTATCCATTTGATATGTGGGTAGACAATTTATAAACTCAAGGAGCCAAAATATCTCACAGTGCAATAATAATACATCGACTAGAATCAATAAGAAGAAATGTCATTCAATAAAAGAATCATTACATTACTTGGCATCTAGTGTTTGAGATTATAGAATTAGTAGAATTCAAAGGTGGATAGCCATTGAAATCATGGGTTCTTTGGGAATGGATGAAACTATCAGACCTACGAATTTTGCTTGGTGTCTAAAATCACATAAATGACCTTATGAAGGTCGAGGAATTTAGAAGCCAAATAAATGTTAAAATTGGTTTATCCGAATTGTAAAGATCTATGATTTTAGGACAAAAGATCGTTTTGAATATTTTTCTTCGAAGAAATTTGTTCAAAACAGGGTACATTAAGTGACATTCCATAAGTTTGACTACATCGAAAGAGTGCAATGGCAGTTATGGAAAGATGTCAAGTTTAATGTATCAGTGGCATTACGATTGAAATCGTAGTGACTAATACCTTTTGGAAAATCATAGAAATACTTATTGGGTATTGAGATTCAATCTCAACATGTTGCACTTGGTTCATCGGAACAGGGCAGTGTAACAAGAACGAAGGAAAATGTCTCTCAGGAAGATTGGTTATGTCAATGATGAGTTATTAGGAATTTCGTTTTTTCGTATTGGAGTTGTGCAAATAGCAGGATAAGTTCTGAATATAATCCTATCTTTTAGTAGTCACTACTCTTAATGAATTGTTGGCAAGACTTAGGCCTTGACAGGAACATATTCAGATTCAAAGCATTTCAGCACACGTGCTGGAAAGTTGATACTAATAGGAATGGAAAAGATGTTCGAAAAATATGCTATTGTGGGATACTTCATAGTAACGAGAAATGAGTGGATTATTACAGTAAAAAAAGTCAGAATGTGTTCATTAGCGTGAATGTCTGATTTTTAGAGGAATACTGAGTAATAAATCACTAAGTTCATTTGTAGAATTATTTAAGGAAAGATAAAGGTAAAAGTTCAACTTTGTTACAAAGTGTACAAATGTGATACAACAAGGAAAAATTGCAACACGTATTTTTTGCTATACATCTTTGCAGAGGGAACCTCGTTGTAGTGGGAGGGTTGCAAGACAAATCCATTCATGATAATAAAAGAGTCGTTGGACTCAGTCTGTATTAATCACAAGTTCATGGAATTCATGTTTTGAGAAAGTCTCGGACTTAGTCTATAGTAAACTTGAATCGATCCCTAGTAATACAATGAAGAGACCCAAGACAAGGATGCAGAAACTTAGCAAAGTCTTAATGATTCCTGATTTAGGGTCATGGAATCTTATCAGATCTGGGTTCTTATAGAATTACCAAGTAGCAAACTTGCTATTGGACGAAATCTATAAGTGAAGACTTCAGTACAAGGCTTGTTGTGAAATAGCAGACTCAGAAAGAATGAGATCTATTATGAGTAAGCTTTTTCACCACTAGTCATGTTTAAGTCTGTACATAAAAAGGCTTGTTGTGAAATGGTGAACTCATAAAGAATGGGATCTATTATGAGTTAATTATTTCACCGATTGCCTAATTTAAAGCTGATGCCATTCATATGAGTTATGAGTTAGACAAAGTGGATGTCAAGACATTTTCCTTCATCGAGAGTCTTGTAGGAATACCCACGGAGCAGAATCCAGAATTTTTCATTAGAAAGGGCTAAGAGCATCTAGTCAGTAGGCTGACAAGGTCTATTTATAGACTGTGGTGGGCCGATCATCTAGATGATAATTCGAATCGTAGATTTGATTATTAACCAAATGAGCATTGTATGTGGCGCAATGGAAGCGTGGTGGTATTTTTGTACTATGCGTAGACAATATTTTGATCACTGGAGACAGTGTAAAGATGTTGACAGATGCAAGGGTATGTTTATCCAAGTAGTTGGATATGAAAGATTCGGAATCAACTGATATTCTTGAGATTGAGGATATCAAGAAAAATATGTTGCGGTTGTCCCAATTTTCATGTCCAAACTATTGTAAGGCTCATTCTATTTTTGCATGATATCTGGCAGTCCTTAAGCATGGCAATAGGAAGCCTAGTGTAATATCCCGTCATGTTATTAATATAAATCATGCGTTTAGTTCCGACATAATAATATTGTCGATTATTATTGTTCGGAATTAATTATTTCAGTCAAGATTATCCGAAATTACTTTCAAAGTCACGTTTACGTTCGGATAATTTTGGTAAATTAGTATCATGCTTAGTTAAATAATTAAGCACAAAATTGTGCTTAATGAAGGTTAATCATGCTCAAGTATTAAAATGCCGTGGGCATTATCAATTAAAATTCATGGGAGACTTATCTCCATATTTAAGCTTGAGGTGGCTAATTTTCCTTCACTTAAGTAATGACTAATCTCCCATTTAGATGACTTAGCTTTCATGCATGGCAAGTGGAGGCAAATTATTGGCCAAAAATTTAATCCTCACCTCTTCAATTCTTTCGGCAATATATTAGGTTAAGTGGGGAGAAATTCTTCTTAACTTAAATGCATATCTTGAGCTGCTATATGTTGAGAGTTAGGGAAAATTTTAGATTATTAAGATTAAGAATTCACGGAAGAAGCTTAGCCACAAGTCACGCTCAAGGCGACCGCACGAGCATAAGAATTCACGGAGGTTTACAATCACTCGAGCTATTAAGGAGGTAATCTCCTTATTGATATTGTGTTGATGTTAGTATGTTCCTCCTCAGTTCAAATCTTAGGCTTATAGCTCATGAATTAGCCTTAAAATTGCTCTCGGCCGTGCAAATGAGACCATGACGAACATGTTCATTTTTTATCCGAAACTCTCGAGTAATTTTCATGTATTCAGTCATTTTATACCATTTCATGTTCAGCCAATTCATGTTTGTCGAGAGTTTTTCATGTTCGGTCGAGGAGGCGGCTTAAAGCCGTAGGCGGCGCACGGTGTGCACGCCACCGGCCACCTTAGCTCATCATGCAAAAATTTATGATTTTTAAGTATAATCAGCATATTTGATCATGTCATGATATTTCATGTTGGTTCATATAGTAAGTGGTCGGAGGAGTTTTTAAGTGGCCGAACGTATTGGCCGTAGCGTCGGGTCGCGTCTACGCGCACGCTACAACCATGTTTCAAGTCATGTCGATGTTTTGCCCGTGAAATTTCATGATATTATATGTTTACGAGCATGTCAAGTCATTTCATGTTATTTTATGTTAAATCGATCGAGAGAAATCGCCGGACGGCCGGCAAGGGCCGGTCGTGGCCGCGCTACCCGCGCACAGC